GTCAAACAAACTATTTTCAACGTTTATGGAACGTTTACAATCGTTCTAAAATCGAACCAATATTCGAATTTTATGTTCGAATTNTATTGTCAGGCCTGAGAACTTAACAGATGTTTAGCTCCCAGGTGTAAAAGTTGACAGTTATTTTAATGAAAGTATAACTATGATGTGATATTATGAACAAATGATGTAAACACATGGAAAGTCTGGATTCAGATCCTCGCAAAAGTATCCAATATATAAATAATAATACAATCTATAATATATAAACGTATAAATGTGTGTATATTACAGAGACGGATTTATGTTTGTAATAATACAATCGTTAAACATGTTTAATAAGGAGATATCTGCAGCAACACTCATGTCAGATGAGCATCACATGTCACCAAGGAGTTAATGTACTATTGTGTGTGAATTATAATGCAACAGTACAGTGTACAAGTGAGCATATCATTCAATGATTATTAGTTTTGCACTGCAATAATTTTATGACCTTTAAGTATTTTTCATATAAAAATATAGTGTGAATTGTATAATAAATTTATAGTGCTTTTAGTAGTGTATACCCCAAATTGAAAAATTATGACATGTTGGCTGAGAGAAGTTCTGAAGAAAAATGTAGCAAGTATTTCAAATGTTTCTAGTGACAAGACTGAAAAAGCAGATACAAACAAAGGTACAAATCCAGACACTAACGCAGTTTAAAATATTAAAAGAAAAGAAGTTTAACCCTTCACATTAATGACCAGTTTGAATTAAGTAATAATATTTGCTTTCTGTTGTTAATTTTTTTTTCTTTCTTTCTTTCATTTTGCATTTTCAATAAATTGTTTTTGGTGTTTCTATTTGCTGTATTATCTATAATCATTAAAAATTGTTAGGGTTCCAACATTTTTTTTATCAAGGTAAAAATGGTTTCAGGATAAAAGTAAGTTGGGAACAACTGGTCTTTTGCAATGAAAAGATGATTTTATTGTTGGGATAGTAAAAGGATGAGACATCAGATACAATTTTTTTATTTTTCCACAAAACTACTGCTTATTGTTGGAAATTTCTGACAATAGTAAGGATTGTGATAGCCTTATTTACCATTGTATCAATTGTTCTCAATTAATAACATTGTTAAGTGTCCTAATTTTTTTTTATAGTCAAATGGAAAAAACTATATATATATCTTCCTCTTTTTGTCTAAATATATATAATGTGTATTATTGTTTATTGAAGGCAAACTCAAGGACTGCCCCAGGTGGCACAAATCCTAACTATACCAATAAAACAGGTATAGCAGATGTGCAGATGTAGCTTTCTGCTGTTCAGTATATGAAAGAGCTGTTTCAAAGGTATTTATACTGTCTGTATGAGAAATCATGTGCAGTTTTCATTTTCTTCATCATCACTGACATCGTTTTGTCATATCACTAAATGATAGCATCATCAGTCATTCATTTTGCTCATCATTTACTCACTCATCAATTACTTTGTCAGTTAGAAATTGCCTTGAAAAAATTACAAATTCAATTGAAAATAATAATTGTAATTTGTTTGTTTACACTGTTAATAATTGGTAGACTATTTGCTAGATCTAAGTGAGACTCTTTGGTACTAGCTATCATACTTTCATTGGTTTCCTTCTGATTGACAGAACTATTATTCCAGCCCTTAACAAGTGTTAATTCCTTAATGTCATCCCAAGATTCTGCTAACCAATAACTCACATCTATTACATTAATTTTTAGCCTTTGAAAATAGTTTGGCCATTTGCTAAATCTTCTAGCAGTGTTTCAGAAGTCATACTGGAGAATATGAAGCATAATTATAGGCAATATCTTGATGAAGTGGTTGGATGAGAGGTGTTACATTGTGGGCTAAGAAGAGAGCACAAATATTGCCATTAACTAGGGTTTAACATAGGGATGGCCAACAGTTTTTGTCTCCGGGTCGAATTGGAAAGAAAACTTTTTCCACGGGTTGAACCAGAGGCTGCCCTAGGAAGATTTTGAGGTGGTGCGAGATCTCATTGTGGTGTCATCCTGTAGAGACTAAATTGTACATAGAGGTTGCAGATACATTTTTCACATTATCATGCTTTGTCAACACTCTACGCTGTACTTACGAGATTTGTAATGGAGGGTTAACTCAAAACGCACAGTGTCTTGTTGACCCTTTTTTTAGGCATCAGAATTTTTCATTGAGCTATTCAGACTTCAATAGCTAATATTGAAAGATTGATCGTGGGCCACATAAATTCATTAGACGGGCCGGATCTGGTCTGCAGGCCGTATGTTGGTCATGCCTGGTTTAACATTTGGAACAAAATTTTTACGGAACCATTTTTTTAAATAAAAATGAATATATCCATGCACTTTTTTTGGTTGTCATACTTCACAAGAAAGTTTTGTACACTAACTTGCTCTTGGGGTTTTTTGATTTACCAACCAAAAAACTTAAGAATTTAAGCTTATGCTCATGGAATTTGTTTGAACAAACTAAAATTGTTTATCTTTTTTTGTTTTGTTTTGTTTCCAGGAGCTGATTTTTCTTATCTGAAAGCAAATGGTTTTCTTGTTAGTATTTTATAGTTCAATTGCAATTCTTAAGTTTTTATTTCTAATAACTTAGCATCACTTGTTTTGAAATTCAGCTTCTCATCAGAAATGCTCAAGTGTCTCACCCCATATCTTTTATTACAACAGTAAGCCAAATAGAACTTGTGATGAATTCTTTAACCCCCATCTTTTAATGGTTGTAAAATTGCAAAGCTTTTGCTGTAGAATGAGGCTAGGATAACAGCTATCTTTCTTATTTGAATAAACCAAGAAATAAAGCTTATGTATTCATTCTTTTTCAATACTTTTCAAGAGATCCATTTCAATTTCCATTCTATTTTATTTCAGTCTCCAAAAGTCAATTAATTAGCATCTAAGTCACTAGTTACTTTTGTAATTGATTCTCCCTGGTCCAACTATTTGAGAGTTTCCAGTTTCACTCCTAAAGATACTATAACATGCTTCCTTTTCCCACTCATTGTGATAATTAAGATGCCATATCTTTAATAAACCTTCACATATTTTTAACACGATGATGACACACTGACATTAGCTAAAAAGACAGCAGGTATACAGTTGGGGAGAAAGTGATTCAAGCTCACATTCTAACAATCACCATTTCTTTGACAGCTTGCTCAATACAGTTGAGTTTTAAAGTACTACAGTATTTATGTTTGGCACCTAATTTGCAACAAAGCATTTATGAATTATAAGAAAAGTAGCATATTACATATTCACCTTGAATAATGCAGAACCTCAGTTAATTGTGGGATTTACCATATGTTTTAATTAGTTCAAATTAATAAACAATTTTTAATTTAACTTCCAAAAAATATCCAACATGTTTTGTAACATTCCTGGCCAAACTTTAAAATTATGTGTGATGCCATCTGTTACTAAACATTTTTTAAATAAAAGTTTGTATTATTAAGTGTTACAAAATTACAAAATGTTTAATTATGAGGGTAGGGGTGAGTTTTGTAAAAACAATTATAAGTGCTAATAAAAAGTAAAGTCTCCATTAAGTCCAACCCCACTCGAGGTACGACACGTGACCCTCCGACAATTCAAACTTTCAGAAATTTTTGATAAAAAGCACAGGAGTTATTAAGCTTTGAAGTGGGTGAAGAAAATTCTGACCCCCCACACAAATATCCATACATTTTTTTTTGCATTTCTCAATGTTTCAAGGTTCTAAGTTCAAATACACAAAAATCTTGGTGAGGTCGTTTCTTGATCAATTGCCATACTTTCCCTGTTATATTTATTACTTTTTCAGTTGTTTTATATATATCTCAAATACTCGGATCTAGAGGAACCCAAAGGGGGCTAACTCAAAAATTAAAAACATTTGAATAATTATAAGCATCTTTTTATTAACATGTGCAAGGCACAGTTAATGTGTATTGTGCACAGTTCAATAAACTATATTTTGTACTGTAAACGTTTTGAAATTTGAACAAATAAATTTTAATTTTTTCCCCCATCAATGAGGGAGGGCTTAAACCTCTGTAGCCCTCATGGATCCATCCCTGTAAATATTGTTAATGCAATCACAAACATGATGATTAAAGAGTTATATGGTTTGTCCATATACATTTGTAATTTAAAAATCAGCAAGTCACACGTTTTTGTTCTCTAAACATCTCATTCATTTATACAGTCTTCAAATTAAATCATTCCTTGTGAATATAATTCCCAAAAACATTGTAAATGAAATCAATAAAAATAAAAGCAATTTGAAAGATAGTTACTCTAATCTACTACATTTTGTAGTTTTTTTTAATAAACCTTCACAAATAAAATAAAAACAAAAATAATTTCCAATCATACTTATTATCAACAAAATTTAAAAATTTTGCAGATTTAACATTCTACAATCATGCTTTTATATTTGTATAGATTTGTTTCAAGATTTTTTTTTATTTTTGTGAAGGCTTCAATAACTTACAAATAAATAAAGAAATGAGAAAAAAAATACTTTTTTCATTAAAATAATATCTTGTTTTTCAAAGTATATCATAAATTAACTGAGAATTATGAGAAAACTAAGAATAACTGTTATGATAATTAACACCCAAGTCCTACATACTTGATAAATAAATAATCTCCCAAAAAATAATTTTATTGCTTATTTCTATTGAAAATCTGTTTTGTTATATTGGTTATATATGTTTTTCTAGACATTACTTATGTAGGAATTAAATAAGTAAGTTTCAGAAAAATAAAATACAATAGTAAATTTATCAGTTAGCTTTATGAAAAAAGAAAAATTGTGAATTTTGATGGCATTTTCTTATTAACAAAACATATTTTCAAAAGAATTATATATTTATTTTGATTTACCAAAATTAAAATTGTCTAAAGGTAAATTAAAAATTTGCATGGTGAATCTATATTATTCAACTCATTTTATTATAAAAACTGTACTGCATAACTAGGAAAACTTACATTTCTCTCTCTCAACATTTTTGGAATCAAAAGTTTTTTAATTTTGAACAATATTTGACTTCTGCACCTGCAAGCACATTAGAAAACATTTAGTCTAAAAAAAATTCTATTCATAGTTCTTTCATTATTTTATATTTAGTACAATGTAACACATTGCATTTAGTTATTTTATGAAATTTCTAAATGGTTTGTCATAACTTATAAAATACAATCATATGTTAACATTAGATAAATTATAAATTAAAAATATTTATTTTATCTGCTTGACATAAAATTGCTGATTTAGTATATCAAATTGTTAAAATTTGTCATATAAAAATTGTTGCAGCTTGATTAATTTTGTTTGAAAATACAGTAATTTCATTGGTGCTGAATTCTGTTAAAAGTGAAAAACATTTTAATACTTTTAATTAAATATATGTCATATTTAATATAATTAGCAAAATTAATTTATATTAAAATTAATGAAATGATTTTCGTTGGCGAAAGATAAACAATTTGAATATCTTATTTTTGGCATATTTATATCCTGTTATTAGTAAATGGTTGACATATTATTAGCTCTATCTTAAATGTTTAAAAAAAGAATAATGAATTTTAATTAAATTATAAAATGACTTTCTTCCATTAATTTTCTAATTTAAAAATTAATAATAAATTCTAATTAAAGTAAGCATCACATATTTTATTTGTTTTAAAGGATTAATTATCCTTTAAAATAAATAAAATATGTGATGCTTACTTTTATTATATGTAGAATATTTTTAGTACAAAAAAAACATCAGTTTTCTGTAATCGTCCTAGTTGGGCTGCAATTTGAAAAAATTGTAGACCTATAAATTCTCACTGTCATCCATCCATCTTTCCTTAATCTCAAGAAGAGTTAGATAGATGAAAGATGAGACCAGATATGGAAACCTTAGGAGCAGGAGGCCGCAATTAACTATATAAAAACTTCTAATGCAAACCGGAAGTCACATTATTTCAATTCAAAACTTTTCCCCTAAAAACAGTTAATAGATGATTGGCACAACTCCATTGGTAATGGAAAAGTATGATGTACAGTACTGGGACAAGACACTACAGTACTAATTTGAAGTAGAGAGCATATATTTTAAATAAAATAAATTAAAAATATGATTAAAAATTGCAGCTCGGCATTGTGACAATGTTACAATAAATAATTGCTCGTTTTCAACATGATTAAATTGCTGACCATCAATCTTGGTCTGATTCGAAATTGGCAGGGGATGCAGTCTCAGAGTGGGTTTAGATCAGAAGCTTTATCTTTAATGATGGATCATCAGGAATAAAGATTTAAAAATCTCTTGAATTTCTTGAATTCTCTGAATAATTTATTAATCATATTGAAAACTAGGATAATGATTACAGAAAACGATGTTTTTTTTTATTGTACTAAGAAATATTCTACATATAATAATATAAAAGTAAGCATCACATATTTTATTTATTTTAAAGGATTAATTAGAATTTATTATTAATTTTTAAATTAGAAAGTTAATGGGAGAAAGGCATTTTATAATTTAAAAAAAAGAGTAAAGAATTTTAATTAAACATTTAAGATAGAGGTAATATGTCAACCATTTACTAATAACAGGATATAAATATACCAAAAATAAGATGAACAATTTGAATATTTTTCACTAATGAAAATCATTTCATTAATTTTAATATAACTTAATTTTGCTAATTATATTAAAAATGACATATAACATGAATATTGCCGACCATCACTCTTTGAAAGGCATCATCTGGCTGTAAAATAAAGCCAGATGATGCCCTTCAAAAGAGGAAAAGCAAGTTTAATAATGCTGAAGCAGAGAATGAGAAAGTCCTTTCAATCTTTAGTAATCTTTACAATAATTGGATTATGAATAAGAAGTTACTTAATAATTCTTTGCATGCATTTAAAATAAAATGAATATTTATTGATTATATTGAAATCTTAATTCAATTCTGAATTATAAAATTGAACATCACCTTCTAAATATCAAATACACATCTCAAAGGTGTGTGTTAATATATGAATTGTGTTAGTGTGTACTGTATCACATATAAGGTTATTCGAAATTTATCAAAGTATTTTACATATTGAGAATACATTTTTCTGCTGTAATAAGAAAGGTAATGTTGTACTTTGTTTTATCAAGAAGTGTAAGTTCTAAATATACAATTATCCATAATGATGTCCTGCTTTTGCTTTAGAGAATAAAATAGTTCTTCAGATAGAATGTGTTTTTGCATTTATTTTTATTCTAATTATAATTGGAAAAAATTGCAGAAAAATAAAATAGAATGATTTATTAATAAAGTATAATCATCTTTGCATTTAGATTTGGCAAGCGGGTCTTCGTAGCATTACCAACAACATCAAAGCCAATAATGTTTGTCCAATGACTTGCCTTAAAAAACAGTAAGTTTTCATTCAAATAATTAACACAATTTATCATTAAAATACAATAATTATTTAATGTAAAACAGAAATGCAGCTGAATTCTTTACATAAATTTTCTTTTTCTTTAATTAATTGGGATTGTTTAATGGGGGTGGCAAATATTTTCTGAGAGACATCACCCAATTCAATGTAATAAAATAAATAAAAATAAAATAATCTTTATTTTTATTTTCAATATATTATTTATTTTCAATATAAATTTCAGTATTCAAGAGAAAATTTATTAATGTTTTTCATGCTAAAATTATTCTAGTATTCTTTTCATTATCTTCACATGTATATAACTTAATGATACTTTAATGCCTTGTACTGTCAAGTGTAATCTAATAATTCAAAAAACTTTTTTAGCAAATATATTAAAATGTCCAGAATCATTATTTTCACAAGATATCAGATTTATTTTTTAAATTCAGTGTGTGTTCATTAGGATGAATCAAATCTTGGAAATAAATTTAATATCCAGTTTCTTACACTAAAAACAGCTAAATTGAAGCAAATAATACTTCACTGTTGCACACTATATAAATTATAGTTTTTTCAGAAAACAATAAATGCTTGGTTCTAAATATTTTAATGCTTTTTCTCCTCTCAAAATCAGTAGCTTAGCCAAGTTTTGAGAATGGAAGCAAACGTACCAGGTATCTTCCTTAATGTCATAAAATTTTTCCCAAATAGGAAAAAATTTATATTACAAAAAAGTTTATTATATATAATTTTATATTTACTCCCCGCTTTAACCTCCTGGTACCTGCTGTTACTAATCAAGGGTTTATGAATATGCTATATAAAAATTTTTAATTATTCTTAATTTTATATATCCATTAGAATGAATGGCTGTACAGATGGAATAAGGTAATGCAACGTGTTTTCAATCTACCAAGGGAGGTGTTTCTTGGGAGGATTTTCTATGGGAAACTGACCCCTTTAGGTGTTAGATACATGAGAACTCAGAAAACTCCATAAGGACAGCCCATTGGTGAGGTGAAACTCACAACCAACTGCCAGTGTTTGGTGGCTTTATGCATTTGATCATTGGTGGACACTTGGCTAAATGTAATGAGGTATATGAAAATTCTAAAATTTTTGTATATAATAATTTGCATCTCTTACTAACAATACACATAATCAGAATATACGAAATTTTACTTAGATTCCTAAGACATAGTTTGATGGGAATACTTGACCTAAAACATCTGCAACATATTTTCATCAATGTGTTTTAAGAAAAATTATTTTTCCATCAACCCCCCTTCATTACTGTATATACATATGCAACAGCCCTCTTACATAATCTTTAAAAGGCATCTTCCTAAATTTATTTAAGAGCTAAAAATTACATAAAACTGCTAATATTTTTTTTTTTAAGTTTTTATATTTGCAAAGTTTTATCAATCCCCTTTCAAACTTTCATCAACCCCTAAGGGATTAAACAAAGTTTATATAATCTTATGAATAACATTTACTTTAAGTTATATTATCTTCAAAAAAAGCAATTTTGGTTTACCTCAGATTAGCAAAATTCTGATTGTGATTTCTTCTTTTCATCTGTCAACATTATTTTTACTATCAATGATATATGCTTCAGTTGATTGTCCTATTGAAATATCCAAAAGAGCATTGACTTGGAGATTCTCTGAGACAATATTTTCCATATCTGTATCACAACAGGTGTTATTTTGATTAGCTTCTATTTATAAATTTTTTGAATGACAATGTCTCATGAAATAACTCCACCTAAGTAATCTGTTAGAATATTTTATTAAGAACCCTCAGCCAATCAAAACTTGTTATTTCTTATTATACAAAGAAAAATTCATCATATTATGGGACAGAGGGAGACAATTTTTAAAATATTTTGTGTAACTTATTGAATAAAATTGCATTAATTTTAAATATTTAAAATAAGCTGGATGAAGTTGGGATATCTAGTGGACCCAGACGGTAAGATACCTGTCAGACGGATTGCACAGACATTTGCCTCAGGTAAAACAGAGAAGATTGTCTATCAGTATATTGGTGAAGTTGGCCTACCAAATGGAAAGGTAATTGCATTATAAATTGTTATTAAATGTTATTTGAGATATAATCATTAATTAAAAACTTTTGAAAAAATTAGAATGATGTAATAGAACAGGAGGCTTTTACCCTGGAAAAGTTTCATCAATTATACCATAAGATTTGTCCTCGGAGTGATATAGAAGAGTTATTTAATTTAATGTATGTATCTCTTCATTGTTATGCAGTAGCGTACCGTAGTGGGGGTGGCCCGCCCCGGGCAGCACTTTTTAGGGGGCAGCAAAATTACCTTTTAGGGGGCGGCAAAATTTCACAATAAATAATAATAATAATATCTTGTAAAAATTCGAAACATCCTAATCTATACTTGCATCGCGCCTATGATAGTGCTATTGTGCGGACAGTCCGGGAATCGGCTCGCCAGGTGAACTAGTAGCATTTTCATCCGAGGAATTCCTGCAAAAGCTGTTGACTTTCCCCCCCCTTGTACGATTCATTCGCATTCATATACATCACTAATATCCAATAGAACTATTTTAAACAGGTCGCTGCACTACCACTGAATTTTTCATTGCTTGTTCTGTGACAAAACTGAATTTTGGTCTTTTTTGAAATACCTAAATAAGGGGGGCCGAAATTTTCCTCCGCCCCGGGCGGCTGACACCCACAGTACGCCACTGCTGTTATGTAAATATTTTCCAGTTGATTTACATTTAATTATACTACATTTTATTATAGTACTCAAAATAGATCAGACACTATCAATACAAAACAACTTATTAGCTTTTTAAATGAGGTAAGTATATTTCTGTATTGCTTGAAGTATTTATAAGAAATGGAAAAAAAAATTTTATCTTTTTTAATTTTTTATGAAAAAAATTTAAACTGTAATTTGTTTTTATTTTTGTTTATATTCCTAAAGATATTTTAACACACAAACCAATTTTAAATAAGAAAAATGTTTCTTAATGTAGAAGACGTGGTTGCTGTATCTTCAAATTCTGTGTGTAGCATCTTTGTAATCCAAACAATAATTTTGGTAGACGATCGAACAGCAATTGGTTAGAAAATGTTACGTTTTATTTAAAATATTTCTAATTCAGATGCATTTTGGGTTGGTTTGTATTCCCAACCCCTCTTCAGTGATGTTATATAATGTACATCATAGACTTATCTGACAATATTTTTATTACATGGTAGTATGATTATTTCATTTTTAGTTAAAATGTATTCAGTGTTTTTAGTTAAAATGTATTTAGTTAAAATGTACTCTGTTCCAATTCGTATAGGAAATAATACATTTTAACTAAAAATGAAATAATCATGCTACCATGTAATAAAAATATTGTCAGATGGACATTTTCACAAAATCGTTGTCTCAGGAGAGGTTTTCTAAACTGAGAAATAGGATCCAAGTCACCTAAGATGTTTGCTTATGTACCTTTTCTAATTCAATTTTTGCTTAATTAGTATTATTTAATGTTTTAAACTGCAAATTGAGAGGGGAGATGTTAAAAATTGTTAACTTAGCCCAAGAGGGGCCACTTTTTTTAATATCTAACTATGTCTTAACACATGTGGTTGTGTGTTATGACACAGAGAAAAAATTTGTAGCCTCATTTTCTTTAATTCCTATTCCTGTAATTAACAAGTTATCAAAATATATAATCATGATAATCTTCTCTTTCTTATATAAACAAAAATCATTCTTTGATCTTTTGAATCTCATTTGAGTTGCAAATTCATTGAAACATTCATTCCAGCATCTGAGAGCCTCTTTTAGACTGCACAGTGCCTTTTTTAGTTTCAGCACACTTTCATTTGTACCTTTAGTCTTACTGAGGCAAAATTTAAACATACAACAAATGAAATAAATGAAAAGCTACTATAATTAAAAGTAAGCAATGAAATATATTCATTTTCATGAGAAACAACATTTGAAAAATAACGTGTGGGCTATTTACCAAAAATTCTTATATATGGATGACACAAAATTGTGTGATTGATGTGTTGTAACAAAGGTCATATGATGCAAAATCATGTCAGTTGGCTGGGAACATGTTAATGAGTAAAAATATTCAATAAAAAATACACGTATTATTTTAATAAAAAATGTGCCCTATCCTCATACCTATGTCTGTTTCTTTTCACATGTGTTCATTTAATAAACAGGATGCTTATTGTAGAGCTCTGTATGGTCCATTATAATAAAAAAATCTTAACATTAAAACCCAATGATGGCTTTTTAATTAGAGCATAAAATTTAGACAGAATTGAGCAAAATTTCAATATAAAATCTGATAATCTATGTAACTAGTCAATAACATTAGTTTGTATTTAAACTTAACTGCTTTGATAAAGTTTGATTTGTTTACAATTAATTACCACTTGAAAAAATATATTTAAATTTTAATATATTTTTAACAGTAAAATACTCTGTGGTTTTTTTTTAATGTTAAAAAATTGTCTACAAAAATTGCGAATCAAAAAGCTATTTTCTTGTTTTAGACTACTTCCTTCAGTAACAATCAATGCAATTTAATATTTTATTTTAATTAATATGTTTAGGGCTAAATATAAACATCTGTAAACCTGATAGTTATATTAAAGCCAAATGATTGCCAGTCTTAGCCCAATCTAATTTGGCTTTAAGAAAATTGTTTTCATATAAAGATGCAAAGATAAATTTTAATAATTATTTAAGTCTATATTGTGTGATTCAGAATTACAACAAAAGATGTTTTTATTTTAAGAAACAACGTGATCCACGTCTGAATGAAATTCTTTATCCATTCTATGACGAAAAACGTGCAAGGGAGATAATTAACACTTATGAACAAAATCCTGAATTAGCAAAAGAAGGTAAATTCATTATTAATTTTCTGAAAAGAAAAGTCATACATTGAAAAGAAGCTTTGATTAAAATTATTCAAAATATGCATTTGAAGGAAAGTTAGACCAAGAAGGACTAATCAGATATCTCATGTCTGATGAGAATGCTCCAGTTTTTCTCGATCGTCTTGACATCTACATGGATATGGACCAACCTTTGGCCCATTATTATATTAACTCTTCCCACAACACCTATCTTACTGGCCGACAGTTTGGTGGAAGATCTTCTGTGGAGATGTACAGACAAGTCCTTCTGGCAGGTTGCAGGTAATTTAAATTATAAAATATGGTAATACTTTTCATATTAAAAATGAACACTTACCAAGATGTAGACATGTTCTGCACTTAAATATGAATTTGGCTTGGATGTTTTAAGTCTGTAAATAATAGAATTAATTATATATATTTTATATTAACAAAAAGATTCCTAATAAATATTAATCAAAATATATACAGTATATTATACTTAACACATTATAAATGAGATCTTTTAACAAATAGAATTTATATTTTTGCTTCAATATCATAATAAGTAATAAATGTTTGACACGTTTCCATTTGTCAGGTGTGTAGAACTGGATTGTTGGGATGGCAAAGGAGAGGACGAAGAACCCATAATCACACATGGCAAAGCAATGTGCACAGATATTGTATTTAAAGTAGGTGTCAAGATTAAATTACTGTTACATTACTAATTGTCCTTACAAATTTCCATTTTTAAAATATTTCTCCATACTCTAGGATGTAATAAATGCTATTAGGGACTGTGCTTTTGTGACATCAGAATATCCAATTATATTATCTTTTGAAAATCATTGCAGGTATCATTTTGATAAAATATTTTTAATATTTCTGTAAATTATTTGAGTGATTTTTTTTATATCTAAGTTGATATGACACATAATATTCTTTTACAGTAAAAAACAACAATATAAGATGGCCAAATATTGTGATGACATTTTAGGAGAAATGTTACTTCGAGAACCCATTTCAGGTTATCCAGTAAGTTTTAATAGTTCTTTTATTCTTTACACAAAAGATACATTGCCCAGTGAGTAAAATAATCACCCCCACATTAACAATGATAAAATACTTGATTAAAAGCTAAACAAGTAAAACAGCAAAACCTTATTTGGGATAAGACTATGTCTCAGAGGCTCACTATTAAGCAGGATCACTTTGATGCTCTAGGCGGGTCTTGTTCTCATTTTCCAATCTTCTTTGGTATGGCTGGTTTTGAGCACAATCTTTCAAACTTCGTCAGCCACAACCACAAGGAATTTTCAGTGAAATTAACTATCCAATTTCAAAATTTCTCTCCATTGCGTATCGCCCCAGGTTGAATTTTTGTCGATGCCTAACGAAAATTTTCCATTTTTGAACAAAATAATCCTGGTTATTGTATCGTCCGAAATTATTTTATTTTGTACAAACAATATATATATATTGTTTGTACAAAATACTTATGTAAAAAAAAAACGTTTGTTTTCTTTTTACATTTATTAATGTATATATATATATTAATAAATGTAAAAAGAAAACAAATTGTATTTCGGAAGTTAGTTTTAATATAAAATTATAATGACTGGCACCATCTACTTTGAAAAATGTTCCGACGATGAAACGAGATATCTCTGGTCAACTGATCATCATCATCAAAAATTGTTTCATACACTAAAAAGAAAAATGAAAACATTGTAACAACTCACTGCTTCATTCATCGTGAATCATTGGTAGCAAAGACAATAGGCCCTGAACTCAAAAGAGTGTTAGAAGAAATCATATATAATGGTTAATTATATCAAAGCTAGACCATTAAAATCGCGTATATTTGCAAAACTATGTGAAGAGATGCAATCTCATCATAATAACCTGCTTCTTCATACCTAAATGAGATGGCTTTTGAAAGGTTGCGTATTAAATCGTGTTTTTGAACTTAAAGAAGAAATATTAATATTTTTTCAACAACACAAAGCTTTACTTTTTTCAACAACACTTATTTTATATTAATCATTTAATTAGCCATATTATAGGCCGATATTAAGGCGATCGTTTGGTGATTTTTCAACATGAAAACAAACCAGAATTTTGTGTATTATTACAAAATGATTCTTGGTGTTCCAAAGTAGATAATTTAACAGACATATTTGATCACCTGAACAAGTTAAACTCAAGCATGCAAGGTAGAAATGAAAATATTTTAACATCTGTAGATAAAATTAAAGCGTTAAAAGATAAAATAAAAATGAAGATAAAAGTAAATGCAAATAATATAGAAATGTTTATTCAAGTTGCCAAAGGAAAATATAACAATACAGATTTGCAAAAACTTATTTATAGTCATTTAACGTCGTTAGAAGAAAAAATTAGCCATTATTTCCCTGACATATCAGTTGATTTGTATGACTGGATTCGAAATCCTTTTGTAGAGACAACATCAGAAATAAGTTCAGTCTTGCAGAAGCTGAAGAATTAATTGATATATGTAACGATCATATGTTAAGATTGAAGCATTCAGAAATGAATCTGAATTCATTTAGGATAACAATTATGAAGGAATATCCCAATATAGGATTCAAAGCACTTAATATTTCATTGCAGTTTTCCACATCGTATCTCTGTGAAATGGAATTCTCTACATTTGTAAATATTAAAACAAAGAAGAGAGAAAGACTAAAGGCTCTTGAAAATGAGATGAGGGTATGTCTTTCAAAAACATGACCTAATATCAAGGAAATATGCAAACACCATCAGGTGCAATTTCACATTAAGTTCACATTTTATCACCAGATACCTTTATAATAACTTTTGTTTTGAATGTTTTTGTGTTGTTTGGAAATAAACTTACTTTAAAAAACTTTTATTTTTTTCAAAGACTTCTCATCCTACATATCTTTACTAACCATAAAAGCAAATAATAATAATAATAGTGGTGCCGTGAATTTTGTTTAATAATTTCAGTGTGCCACCAAACAAAAAAGTTTGAGAAACAGTGTTCTAGAGATATGGTGTACACTCCAGGTACTCTTTTCTTGTTTATTTGATCTTTTCCATTGGTTAATAATAGGAATATAGTTGGGTTTCTTTTAAACACTATATCTTTCACTATGCTAGAATAAACTTTGCATAACCAGGAGTCAAATTCAACTGTTACAAATTTGCAGTTTGTTGTTCTGCTTCCTTACCTGAACTGTTTTAAATTTCTAGTAGTGATGTAACGAATATTCGGTTACTATTCGGTATTCGGCCTATTTTTCACTATTCAGCCGAATACCGAATATTTAATCACTATTCGGCCGAATACCTAAAAACAGGAGTTATAAACAACAAAAACACAGTAAATTAATCATTTTGGTATTTAGAGTTAATGTTATAGAGTTAGTGTTGTTTGTTTATATTTATTTATAACTTGAAACATGCACAAAATAAAAAAGAAAATAATATTAGTCACATGTATTCACAATTTATAATTACAAAGATCAGCACACGTACACGTCTATCGTTGGAGAATCCTCGCACATCTGAGGGTCTGACTCTGCCTATCCTTCTTTTTAAGCGCTCGTCTTTGCTCTTCTCTTTCTCTTTCCTCTATTGCAGTGTTTTTCAACCTGTGGGTCGCGACCCCCAGAGGGGTCGCGAAGCCTTACACGGGGGGTCGCAGGTAAAAGAAAAAGACAAGTGTTTGTAGGTCCTACACTATATTAAAAATACTACAATTTCGGCGAGAAAGCTGTATCTGTTTATTATACAGTACAGTTGGTCTTTTGATTGACATTTAGGTGTGAATGATGGGTTTCGCCAGGGAGGGGCCAAAAAATGATAGCCGAAAAAGTGCTGAGCTGACCTGTAAAAAAAAAGTAATAAGTAGAAAAGTGGAAGTTAAAAACTGTCGTCCTAAAAAAAAAAAAAGGTCAACAGCACTCCGAACCAAATGTTCCTATGAGAGGGAAGTATCATACCATACGTGTCATAAGTTATTGTCGATCCTTCTTAAATTCTCATTTTAGTCAACAATAATTTCTCTCAACAGAAAGACAATTAAATACATAATTTTTAAAATCACTGATATAGTTTTAATATCGCCCTAGGGGGGTTGCCAGAACTTTTTAACTTGTAAAGGGGTCGCGTATTCAAAAAGGTTGAAAAACACTGCTCTATTGCTCTAATCCATGTATGCCTGTGCATACATCACAATACGTGCTTATGATACTTTTGATTCGTCACTTTTCCATCGTAGAGTTCCCATTTTACAATTACGTGACTCAACCTGGTGATAACGGAGAAAAGAGACACATAGGACGTCGATATAAGTCACAGTTATGATTTCACAGATTCGAGACAGCTTGATAGCCCGAACGGCCCCAGGCTTTTGCCCGTGCACGCTAAGTGACTTTCATTACAAGCATTTAGCTTTCTGAAGCATTGACGGCCGCGAATTTCGCGCCAATAAGCTACTTCAACTCGTTCGATTATGTTATCGACTCAATTTCATATTTATTTTCACATTTTCACTTTGCGGTCTTTCTCTATTCTTTCTCCGTTATTTACACATATAGGACATTTCATTGTTATCACAAAATCATCACTTATCACATACTGCCATGACGCTCATGTCTGTCTGCTTCAACTGTCAAGAATTAACGCGATTGGCGAAGCGTAGTGACAGCGGGCCAATAGAGAGCGGAGTCCTTGCCATAATGCAGTTTGCGCGCCAATTTCCATACGTGCGATAATCGAGCTGAATAGTTTGGCCAAATATTCGGCTATTCGGCCACGCTCCTGGCCGAATATACTATTCGTTACAACACTAATTTCTAGCCAATTCAATAATTAGTTTATTAGTAGCCATGTTTTGTTGCTAGCTTTTTAATAGCTTTAATCTCTTGCTATGTATCCTCATTTCTAGAACAATGTATATAAGCTCTTTGGATGAGTGTTCCAAATGTCGCTATTTTAAAACTCTTTGGATCATTAGAGGCAGCAGGTATGAAAAAGGAAGGTGTATTTGGTTTGTGATAAACTTTACTGAGTATTTTGTTCTTGGTGATCTCTATTTCCAGGTCTAGATAATGTACTTTTGTTTTATCTGATTGGTCTAGTACTAGTCCTATACTTATTATTGTTAATAATTTGAAAACATCTTTGATGTAGGGCTTAGATTTCCAAATTATTAAAATATTGTCAATGTACCTTGCATATAAACTCGAGAACAAAATACTCACAAAAATATATTTTGTGAAAATACAGCATATGCATAATTGATAATGATATTGAAATTTATGAAAGCTATGTTTAAGCATACCATTCAAAAAATCAAGGAAAATTATAATGAGATCAGGGTGGGTAAATGATAAAGAAAACAGCTGATTTCTCTCTCTTGGAATACTTGAAAAGATAAAGAAATTAATTACATTAAAATTATTAGTTTCTGAAGTGTTTGTCTTAGATGCACTATTGGAACTATTGAAATTTGCTATGGGAAATTATTATAAAATACAAGGGAGCACTTAATCAAGTTGGGACACTTGTATGGTATTTTATGGTGACTAGATTTCATATTTTGTTTGAAGCATTTTGGAAACAATTGTAATTAAAACCAAGAAACAGATCTGTTATTATTAATACAAGGTATCTAAAAAGTTATCTGAATCTTTCTTGCTCTAAACTACAGTAATACTAAAGATTTTTAAAAAATCCGTGTTTTATATATTTTGTCATGTTTTCTGCTAACAATACTGTTTGTTCAATTACATGTCATACCATACATATACGAGGTCTGTTCAAAAAGTATTGAACCCTTTTTTTTTCCACGTAAACCAATGATGCATGAGAGGCCTCCTTCGGTGGAGTTGTGGAGGGGACAGTCATGCACAGCCCTGAATTTTTTCCCGCCTGCAGGAAGCGTCAGTCGTTGGCAATCGGCCTATGAGTGAGGTCATGTAGTGCGCTCTCGTCGGATTCCACTAAGCTGGAAAATGACTGAACAACGTGAGCAGTGATATTACATCAAATTTTGCCAAAAACCTTGGCGATACCCGAGTGTAAACCATTCGCAAGATTCAGCAGGCTTTCGGGGACGATCCTCGAGGCCAAAAAAAGCGCGGCAGGTCCGCAGCAATATCAAAGGTCATGTTGACAGTTTTTTCGACTCTCGTGGGGTGGTGTGTCGTGAGTACGCACCACAAGGCCAAACCATCGCAAAGGAGTACTACCAGGAGGTCCTTCGTCGTCTTTCCGATACAGTGCGACGCAAACGATCGGATCTGTGGTCGATCAAAACTTGGCAGCTCCATCGTGATAACGCATCCGCCCATTCTGCGCATCTGATTCGGGCTTTCGTCGCCAAACACAATACTCCTGTGGTTCGTCACGCTCCGTAATCTCCCCACATGGCTCCGTGTGACTTTTGGCTATTTCCCAAGCTGAAAATGCCGCTAAAAGGAACACGAATTTAGTCGAGAGAAGACATCGTGCGAAATGCGACGGACCGGCTGATGGCCATTCCAGAAAATGCGTTCCAGCAGTGCTTTCAGCAATGGCAGGAACGCTGGGAGAAGTGTATACATTACCAAGGAGACTACTTTGAAGGGGATTAGGGTTTTGTACCTCAAAGTCAATAAATTTATTTTTGCCGACCAAAGGTCCGATACTTTTTGAACACACCACATATCATCATTCAAGCAATTCCAAAAATAAAAATTCACTAGGATCAATTCAAGTACTATTTCAATATCAATTTTAGTCATTTAATGATACTTAACTAGAAACAAAAATTAATTATATCTATCATTTTGTCTATGATTACACATTATTATTTTGAGATTGATTGGAAATTAAAGAAATAATGCATTAGATGTCAGATAAGACATATGTATACATTTTTCTGTACCCATCCAATATATAACACTAAATCAATCACTTAAATAATGAATTGTTTTTGACAAATATCCAAATTTTATTTAAGGAATAAATTACTAAACCATGATTTCATTTGTATGAGGCAGTTTAAGCAGTTAATGATTCACATGATATATTTTGGTTTAAGAAAATACAATTTTACATTAAATACAAGAATAATTTTGATTGGAAAAAGCAGTTTGTAACTATAAAATGTTTCTAAATCAAACTATAATACAGTAGAGCCTCGATTATCCGACCCCCGATTAACCGACACCTTGGTTAACCGACCGTCCTAGTCGGCAAATTTCAAATGTCCGCTAGTGATGTGGCACTACAATATTGGCTATGTCTTGGCTACTTTAATATTATTTTTACGTGTTTTAGCTGGCAACACTCATTCGACCATGAAAGAGAGCCAGTATTTGAACGAGGCTTAATTTTCTAATTTTTAACGATACAATAGCGACGATTATTATTTTAAAAAATTTTTGTTAGGCTTAACATCGATGAAAATTCAACGCGAAGTAGGTTAATAGCGATATACTAATAGACTAATTACATGGGATATAATAATATACTACACTAATAATGGATTTTTTCATACTTTTCGGTTATCCGACTTTTCAATTATCCGACCAACCCCAGTCCCCAATTGAGTCGGATAATCGAGGCTCTACTGTATTTCATTCGTTACAGGTAGAAATCATTTCCTATAACTAATCATAATTTGCATAATTTTTTTTTTTTGGAATAAATTTGTTTTAAATCTAACATTACATGAAAAAACACTTGGTAATATATCAGCCATCATTTGAAAATTTAACTAATAGTAAGATTAATTTAGAGCTGCCGCAAACTAGCAAACATGCATTTGCAAACCCAATGACATCAAAGGCCCCGCCCCTTTCTTTGCTAGCACAGCGATACAAACGTACACTCATTGTTGAATTCTGTCAACAGCGAGCATACGCTCGTATCACTGCGCTAGCAAAGGGATAACTGCATGGCCACAAAGAAAGGGGTGGAGCCTTTGATGTCATTGGGTTCACTAGTAGTAGTTTGCAGTGGCTTTTGAAGAAAAACGAAAATTTATCTCTTGGCATTTTACATTAATGAAATTTCTTCTTCAAATGAACTATATTTTCTTACAAAATATGGAACCATTTTAAATAATTAAAAATTTTTTTTATATTGATATTTTTACAGTTAGAAATGGGAGCACCTCTTCCAAGTCCCAGTGATCTTAAACGCAAGATATTAATAAAGAATAAAAGACTTAGACCAGAAGTAGAAAAACGTAAGAGAGATTTAATTTTTTAATCTTTGAATTTAAATCCTGACAAGTCTTGTTCTCCAGAGGAATTGGAATTGTGGAGGAAGGGACAATTACAGAATGATGACGATGATGAGAAAGAAGATGCAGCTATCAATCTTTCCATCTTGCCCACTGAAGATGCAGATAGTGGTGAGATTAAATTTTATATCATAGAAAAATTGTCAGTGTTATTTAAATACAAATGTGGTTTACTTTATTTTCTAGAAAAGAAATTGGATGACACAAATATTCCAGGAAAGGTGTGTTGACTCATTTGATATTCATTTGCCAAAAGATATTTGAAACTTTGTTTATTTTTAAACCTAAACTGTTTATTGAAGGAAGCTGCTGTACAGTTAGATGAACAAGTAGCCATGGCTCATTATCAGTATACAGGCGCGACTATACACGTCCATCCATATTTGTCGTCGCTCGTTAACTATGCCCAGCCAGTAAAATTTCAAGGATTTGATGTTGCCGAAGGTAATCATTACATTTTACAAAAAGAATTTCTTGATTAACTTGTTACAGACAAATGCAAGTTACAATAATTCAAACATTCTTTAACTTTTCTTTAATTTTCAAAATAAAGATGCAATCTTTTATGCTTCCTCAATTGATTTTAAACATATTTTTAAAAAATTATTCAATAATGAGGAAGCTGTTGTAAGAATTAATAAAATTTTTATTTTAAAATATTAACATCATAAACATTCTTGTTAAATTTATTATGTAGTAGTCTGTAGTTAAAAATCAAATTTTCTGATTCATAAATTTATAATATTTTGACTTAATTTAATTAATAGACCAAATATGTTAAAATATTTAACTGTATTTATTTATCACTATTTAAGACATGATGACAAAAGTTTCAACTCTGTGTGCCAAACTATGCATACGAGGTCTGTTTAAAAAGTATCAGACTTTTATTTTTTCCGCGTAAACCAATGATGCGCGGGAGGCCTCTTTCGGTGGAGTTATTGAGGGGACAGTCTTGCACAGCCCTGAATTTTTTTCCGCCTGCAGGAAGCGTCAGTCGTTGGCAGTCGGCCTATGAGTGAGGACATGTAGCGAGCTCTCGACAGATTCCACTAAGTTGGAAAATGACTGAACAACGTGAGCAGCAATATTACATCAAATTTTGCCAAAAACCTTGGCGATACCCGAGCGTAAACCATTTGCAAGATTCAGCAGGCTTTCGGGGACGATCCTCGAGGCCAAAAAAAGCGCGGCAGGCCCGCAGAAATATCAAGGTCATGTTGACAGTTTTTTCGACTCTCGTNCCATTCGCAAGATTCAGCAGGCTTTCGGGGACGATCCTCGAGGCCAAAAAAAGTGCGGCAGGCCCGCAGAAATATCAAGGTCATGTTGACAGTTTTTTCGACTCTCGTGGGGTGGTGTATCATGAGTACGCACCACGAGGCCAAACCATCGCAAAGGAGTACTACCAGGAGGTCCTTCGTCGTCTTTCCGATGCTGTGCGACGCAAACGACTGGATCTGTGGTCGATCAAAACTTGGTAGCTCCATCGTGATAACGCATCCGCCCATTCTGCGCATCTGATTCGGGCTTTCTTCGGCAAACACAACACTCCTCTGGTTCGTCATGCTCCGTACTCTCCCCACATGGCTCCGTGTGACTTTTGGCTATTTCCCAAGCTGAAAATGCTGCTAAAAGGAACCCGAATTTAGTCGAGAGAAGACATCGTGCGGAATGCGACAGACCGGCTATTGACCATTCCAAAAGGTGCATTCCAGCAGTGTTTCCAACAATAGCAGGAACGCTGGGAGAAGTGTATACACTACCAAGGAAACTACTTTGAAGGGGATTAGGGTTTTGTACCTCAAAATCAATAAATGTATTTTTGCCGACCAAAGGTCCGATAGTTTTTGAACAGACCTTGTATTTTACTTAAAAACCTTATCTTTAAAATTTGCCAAAGTTTTGAGTTTGATAAATTACTTTTAAAGAAATGAAATGAATATACTTTAATTAAAATAAATTTAAAAATGTAAACTGAAACCAGAATTAAAAACTGAAATTAAATCATATAATTTTAATGTCATTTATATGGCATTTACTTCATTGGAATGACATTCAGATTATTTTCATATTTTAAAGTACTTTGAATTTATTAAAATTAATATTTTATTATAACTGCATTATGTATCTTATTACAAATTTCTATAATGTGAAAAACAATGATAAGATTGCTATTGTATATTTGAATATAAATTCGCATATGCATATTTCCAATGGAAGTGGTATTGTCAAATATGGGACAGCTTCCACGGCAAAAATATTTGAATCATGTAAAGCAGCCAGATTATACGCATTTGCTTTACAGAGCACCAACCTCATGCAGTTTAGCTCATGGATGCTACAAACCAAAATATCATATAATGATTCTAACCTTCAACCTTCCCTATCATCAAATGTCACTGCATGCCACTGATAATGATATAACTTTTCAATATAAACCAGTTCAGTAATAATAGAATACTTTAATTACTACAGTATTTTGTTATTTTCTTTTAATAATTATTATTCTGAATATATACAATAAAAAATAAATAAAATTGTTTAACATGTTGCATGACAAGAGAAATCTAGTGTGCACTTTGTGCACATATGTAATAGGTCTACCATCTCTAATTTAAGATAAGAAAAATGGACAGAGAACCCGCACCATAGTTAACTATTAATTTTAACATATTGTGAATCTTGTAGTTTTCATTTAAATTGTAAAAAGAGAAGACACTGAGGTCAGCGTTACGTGTGCGTTTTTTTTAATCACTAGTACTTTCGACAAACATATAGTCGTCGTCATCAGGTGAATACGAAGATTTACTGAAAGAATTAAACGGAAATAATCCAATTTGGAATAGAACGCTTAAATTTAAGTTGAAACTTTAGTCAAAGCAATGGGAGTAAACGCAAGATATGTCGGGGCCACTACTAGAATGCTTGCCAGCCGACTAGAAGAGCACAAAAACGATGTTGCAAGGGGTAGACACACCACCGAGCTCGCAAGAAAAGTACTTGAGCAGGGTTACAATCCGCTATGGTCCCAAGCGGTTATGCTCAAGAGCTGTAAGGATCGAAAAATCGTTTTCATATGGGAGTCTCTTCTTACTACCACCTTGGACATGTGCAACATTCCAACTCTCGAGCTGCCCAGTGTATGGGTCACACTATACAAGCAATTAAGTAAAAGTTAGCATTCTCCAGAATGCGTATAGTGTGTGTCTAGATCTGTGCATGCGCGTATTTGCACATCATGGAGCTTTCTGCTCGTTCGTTTTTCGAACATTTTTGAATATGTCTATCGTGTTCCTAACGACTTTGACTAAAGTTTCAACTTAAATTTAAGCGTTCTATTCCAAATCGGATTATTTCCGTTTAATTCTTTCGGTAAATCTTCGTATTCGCCTGATGACGAGGACTATATGTTCGTCAAAAGTACTAGAGATTAAAAAAACGCACACGTAACGCCGACCTCAGTGTCTTCTCTTTTTACAATATAGTATTTTGGCGTGATCATCAGCATATTGTTCATTTAAATTATTTGTAATTTTGTACACATTTGATTTACACTAAAAGATAAATAATTTCCATATGTTTTTATCCTTACTTGAAATAGTTATCGCTGAATTTAGGGGAAACCGGGGTTAGTTGTGACAGTTTTTACTTAAAATTTTTTTTTATGAAGGTTTCACTTAACATACAAATCTGTAAGTCTGCTGACAGGTTAAGCATTCTCTTAGCTATATATTTCACATTTTTGTACTTTTCTATGAATTTATTAATATTCTGAAATATTTAGTTTTCTGAAGAGTGCGACTTTGTAACAACTTTGGGGTAAGTTGTTACATTTACTTTTTCCAGACCAACAAAACAGATTAATTGAAAATGTGAAAATAAACATGATGTAAAGTTTAAGGAATATTTATTTTAAAAAATTTTATATATAATAAGAGAAAAAGCCATTGCACCAATTCAGAACATATTTTTTTAAAACAAAATGTGCTCTTACAAAGCATAATGATTTTATTCATCAGAGTCCATTGATATATCAGTGAATACAAACATAGTTGTTACAATGTAACAACATGCCCCAATTGTTTTGTAACAACTTGCCCCGATCCCGCCATTTTGATTAAATAGCGAAATACTCTTGAACATTTCAAGATATTTATTCAATTACAACAAAATATTACACTATCGTATACTGTTAATAAACATGTTAAACATTGGAAACTTACCACGCAATCCTGTATTCAAAAGTAGATAGGGATCACAATACAAAAAAATTACTTTTAGCTTGAAAAATGATACAAATGAAGATATCACAACTCTAACAGCTCCTCCTACCGCCAAATTTCACATAGTGTTAGAATGACATAAGTGTCAAATACCATGTTAATTGGCAAGTTCTGCATCTTGTGGGTGCTCAGAAAACTTAGTGTAACAACTAACCCCAGTCTCCCTTATACTAGAATAAAAAATTTTTTAACACTTCCATTTTGCATGGTTACAGTATAATTATTGCTCTGTATCAAAATTATATATATCAAAATGTATTATTAAGTTAGTAATGAAAAGTTTTATGAATTGTCTTCTTTTTTTGTGTTGTAGATGTCTTTTTTTTTTCTTTTTTTTTTGTAGCAGTCTATTGTATAAACGACTGGAGGGAAATATAAATAGAATAAGATAACTTTAGCTTTTTTATGTATTTTACTTTCATATTTTTATTGATATTTTCAGAAATTCTACTCAAATCAAAACTCTCAGATTTTTTAGAGATCATAACTTTGCTGGAGTAAAAAATCCATTGTGTAGTTTTTTACAGATTTTTGTACTTTTTTTTATTCAGTATATCATAAGATGGGTTATTTTGACCTACAATAACCGTAACAAATCTTATATAATACATATCATTGCATTGTTAACATCCTAAAAATTACAGTAACTTGAAAATTAATGAATTTGTTTAAAGAAAATACTAATTCTTTTAATTTTACATTAGAAAATGTATAAATTTGTCATTCTAATAAAAAACAAATGATCCATAATACTAGTTTTCAAAAAATATATCATAATTTGAATACCATCAAGATAGGAAATTACTTAAACATCTGCAAAAAATGAGAGAGAATAATTATTAAAACTAGATGCTTTGATGACTTTGCTTAATTTTTAAAAACTTTTTGAAGTTTCTTCCTCTTATAATTTTAATATATATAATATNTTAATATAACAATATTAATTTATTACAATGATTTTTCTTTAAATAGATAAAAACCTCCAATATAACATGTCTTCGTTTGCCGAAAATACTGCCCTTGGTTATTTAAAATCCCAGGCCATCGAATTTGTCAAGTATCCTTTTTGGGAATAGACCATTTTGTTGATATTGTGTGGTATTTGTGAACTTCACGAGTTAAGAAATAATTTATTTAAATTTATCAAAATTATCTAAAGAAGGATCTGACATCTTTCACTTAATATTATAACAATTTTTGAAACGAATATAAATTATTAACTAGGAAGTAAATAAATAATTTCTATTACATCAGCTATGAACTATAAGGATAATTTCTATAAAATTGCAAAATGAAAAATATTTCTTTCTTTGATTCTAGGAATGAAGTTAGTAATTATGGATGTACTTAACACAAATAATGTATAATTATTAAAAACTTGTTATATTGAGAAAATTTATCATTTATTCCTAGAACTAGAATGTTATATACTCAAGAAGTTAACTAAAAAGCAATAAAAAATACACCACTAAATATTTTTGAAACTAAATTAGCATTGAATGGTTGTCTCTTTAATCTGAAATAATTTCATTCAATAGACTATCTTACAGCAAGTCAGGTTAAGAAACTCCTTTATTGTATTTTCACATATGCATTTCAGAATTTCTAAACCTTTTATACGCAAATTGTGAGCTCTAGTAAAGAAATTATTTTGAAATGGATGATAATTTTTACAAACAAACCGATCGGGTCAGAGATGGGGCCAACACTTACTGAATTAGTAATGAAAGAGGTGAACAAAAAAAATACAAAAGATTCCTGGGGTAAAAACTGTAATGTGATATGTAGATGACATTTGATTATTAAACACTAACAAATAAACAAATGATAAAATAATTCTCAACACAGTAAATAGTATAAATGAGGATATAAAATTTGATATAGAACTTGAAAAAGATAATAAAATTAATTTTTTAGATATAACAATAACAAATGAAAAAGATAAATTTTCATTTAAAACTTATAAAAAACCATCCAATGTAAATAAAAAAATAAACTACCACTCTTGTATACCAGATACCATAAAAAAGAATACATATATGATGGAGTTAAAAAATATATACACAAGAACTATCAACAAAAAGGACCGAAAAATTGAATTAAATGAAATAATTCATTTAATTCAACAGAACAAAAATTCATTCTGAACAGTTATCCTGAGAAAACTTTAAAGATTTGGAAAGCACAGTATTATAAAAATAGATTTAATATTAAAAAATAAGCATACAAAGCCTTCCCATACATCACTAACATTGATGATAATTGTAATAAAATACTTAAAAAAGAGAATGTAGTCTTGGCCCCAGCTTTGACCAATAAAATTTCACATAATGTACATATTGATAGATTAAAAACATATAAGGCTAATAGTGATAAATTGAAAAAAACAGGTATTGTCTATAAAATCGCCAAAATCCAAAAAATTATATAGGTGAAACAGGACATGTTTTAGAATTATGGATCAAAGAACATGAGACAGCCATTAGATTAAAGTATAACAACTCTCCTTGGTATAACCATATCAAAAATAGTAACTGTAATATTGATAGAAATAATATTAAAATCCTGCACATAGAGAAAAATATGTATAAAAGAAAATTTAAAGAACATATTGAAATTATAAAACATAATGACAATAATTTAATAAATATCTCTAATGGCATACAAGATAAACAACTGTGGTACAACATTATATAAAGACGTGAAAATAAACCAGTAAATTGTTTTGTAAAACCAAGCACTGAATGTATGTAAAAGTTATTGTGTGTAAATTACCATTTAAGNTGTTTTGTAAAACCAAGCACCAAATGTATGTAAAAGTTATTGTGTGTAAATTACCATTTAAGGATTTATACAACACACAACTATTATTTAGTGTTAGGATGGAATATTTTCAAAGAATATAACAGAAAAACCTGTATGTATATTTTTGTAAAAATCTTTTAAAAAGTTTTTATTACTTATTTGTTACTGAGTTTTATGATTGTATTATTATTTATAGTGACATTGTTTCATTGTAATGTGTTTTACGCCCACAAAGATATTTTAACATTGTAAATAGAAGAACCGTATGAGTCTAACAATTTAGCTCGAGAAAAAGTGGATGAAGTTCTTAAAGGTATTGTAAAAAGTGTTTCCTTGTGTTACTTGACATTTCTACTCATGTTATTATATTTGTCAACTCAATGTTTGTAATGTATACTTCCTGTAGCACTGAAGAGGGACTAGAAAAATAAAACTAGCCTGAAATGCATATGTGAAAATACAATAAAGGAATTTCTTAATCTGACTTGCTGTAAGATAGTCTACCGAAGGAATTATTTCGGATTAAAAAGACAACCATTCACTGAACGAATAATAAGCTACAATTAGTAAATTCAACAAATTAGCAGTTTCCAAACTATTAAGATTTACAAATCCTTTAATAAAAAATATTTGTAGACTGCTACATACATTTGTGAGTCATATACAGTAGACCCCCTATAACATAGTAGATAATTCCATGTTATATGAATTTCATGCTGTATGAGTCACTTAGACTTTACAAATACATGTGCCGGGCTGTGAATGGCTCACATATTTGTTAAATCTAAGTGACTACTGTTCTATTGTACTTTTTTATTATTGCTATGTGTATTTAAAACAAAGTTTAAAATTGGATGAAAAGAGAAACAATGAAACCAAAAGAACAACCAGTCAATAAATTACCTAAATTAGATTATTTCTTTACAGAACACAGTTATGAATCATGTCTAGATGATAGGGAAAAGGCCAATATTGAATCAGAAAATGTGAAGAAGAATGTTGCTTGTGTAAATACACTGCAGATCATTTAAATCAAGCAGTATTATCATTAAAAAAAATAATTCAAAAATCAGATAAGCCTTCATCAGAAATTAGTGTACCATTTATTCCTGCAGAAATCTTGGAGAATATGTGGAAATCAATACTTTACTTACTATAAATATATGTAAAAATACATTGAAGCATCAAAAATCTGTATGTATATGGTTGTCAAATGGATATTAACTCTCGTGAATATTAACTTAATGGTAACTACATTGTTGTTCATTCTTTTGGCCTGTGTTTTTTCACTCTTGCATTCTTGATGTTCTAACATTCATTCGGAATTCTTTAATTTTGAAATTACAATTAGTGTATGTTTTATTTAAATATGGTGATTCTGTAATCATACTTTGAATGTTTATTCCTACATTCTTTAAGTATTTGTTTGAACCTAGAACACCTAAATTTGAATTATAGTGTATTTGGAGTTTACAGTACTTAAAATGATAAGTTAAATGTATATTTGAAAATCTGGATGGTATCCAGCCCCAATTAGTCTAGATTTTCAATGCTTCACTGTATAAGTGTAAGACATAGCATTAAAAAGCATGAAATTATCTAGATTTTTTTAATTCAGATTATATATGTATATATATATACACTTTAACTCTAAAATAGTTATAATAAGCGTCAGCTGAGTCGGATATATCCAAAAGGAACGAGAGCAGATTCAAGTAATTATCTACCTCAGGTAACAGAATCTTTATATTTTCATTAGTTTTTTTATGCTTTAATATATCAGAATGTTTATTAATGGTTTTTAATTTTGTAGATATTTTGGAATGCAGGATGTCAAATGGTTGCACTCAATTTCCAAACGTCAGATCTTCCAATGCAATTAAATCAGGGAAAATTTGAGTATAATGGTGGCTGCGGGTAAGCAATTACAACAGAAGTTCAAGTAGGTGGAAGAATAAGTCATATTGACTGTTCACCCATTTACAGATATTTATTGAAACCGGATTTCATGAGACGTCCCGACAAGACTTTTGACCCATTTGCCGAGTCGCCGGTGGATGGTGTCATTGCTGCACAGTGTTCAGTGAGAGTCATTTCTGGACAGTTTCTCTCAGACAAGAAAGTTGGAACCTATGTGGAAGTAGACATGTATGGATTGCCCACAGACACCATTAGAAAAGAATTTAGGACAAGAATGGTTCCCGGCAATGGTCTCAATCCTGTCTATAATGAGGAACCATTTGTTTTTCGTAAGGTGATTATCTTCCAAACTATTTATAGATACACATTTCAGCATAATTTACAAAGTCCATCACCAGGTTGTATTACCAGATTTGGCTGTGATCCGCATTGCTGTGTACGATGAGAATGGAAAAATGTTGGGACAGAGAATACTTCCAATGGATGGACTTCAGGCTGGTATGTTTTAAGAATTCACTATTTGCAATTTTATTCAGAACCTAATTGAAATTTGATTGTTTCAAATTCAGGTTACAGGCATGTGTCCTTAAGAACAGAAGGAAATTTTCCCATGTCATTAGCAATGTTATTTATTTGTATTGAACTCAAAATATATGTACCTGATGGATTAGGAGGTAAATTAATTATTTCTTTTATAAATTACAAAAGTATTAACTGTTGTTTAGTATTAAAACTTTTTATGATAAAGTAAATATTAACACGAACATTTGGTTTAGTATTAATACATTTGGCTTTTGGATGTTTATATATAGTTTTTGTCATTTTTTTGTTTATATATGGTTGTTATTATTAAAACAATAATACAGTCTACCTCCCTATAACGCGGTAGATATGTTCCACTTTATAAGAATTTCAAGTTGTAGGAATCCTTAAATACATGAGCCAATCACAGCCCGGCACATGTCAGTTTATGGACTATGGCTGTTTGAAAGGTTTTATTCCATAAAATGAATCGATTCTAGACTAACTTGACTCAACATTTCCAAAACACGTATAATTTTTGGGGAATAATCTGTATAAACTATGCTATAAACAAAAAATTGTAGGATTACTTACAGAGTGTGCACCGTTCAACGATGCCATTGCTTAAGCTTGTTTTCGTCAAGGAGCAGTGCACCAAACGGCGGGTGCGTTTTCTGATAAGTTATTTTCCTGCGAAAAATTCACTGAACTTTGGCGACATCATTAATAGAAATAATTTTTATGGCCGTTGAATAAGAAATGTTTTTTTTCACAAGAAATGTATAAAATTACTGTACTAAAATTAATTTATATACTGTACAGACGATAGTAAACTCAACTTACCCGCCTAAACTCTCCGTAGCATGTAACTAGTTCGACTGCTCATCCACTAGTGGTTCAGATTCTACCGATCCTGTCGCGACACGAGTTGGCGATGACGTTTTACCGCAATTTACAAGTCTCTTTTAGTGTCTTTATATGAATACGGTTGCAATTTTTTCACCACGATACACAAATCTGCATTATATGAACCCGTGTTATAGGGGGGTTGACTTGTACTCAATAAAAAATGAAATTCTGTTTATTAAAAAGTGTACAAGAAAGTACACAAGCATTAACAGCATCATAGATGAATTTGTCAGATATATAAATACCACAATTTACAACATACAAAAAACAACTTTTGTCCAAAAATAGTGGCTAAAAAATCTCCATGTCATATATGTGAAGTTGTGATCTCCCATAGACTAGTGAATTCCCCAAATGACTATTAGTGGGTTACAGGTAACCTGGTCAATGTTCTGAGCAGGTATCATGCCATGAATGTGTAACTACTATTTCTGTTTTCTATACAGAAATGGGTGTGCTTGTGTATCTAAAGCCATGTGTTTGTAAATCAGCCAGCTACTTTGAGTCAGACATTGCTTGTGGGTCACTTCTTGCTTTATTTCTCCCCATAGACCTTACTGGTATGGATGGCCCTACTGGAAGCTTGCACTGGCATCATGCTATGGTTCATTGTATCTGCTGAGTTATCTCACCTTAACAAGGTGATAACTAGCAAGAGAATTATTATTCTGTTGGGTTTAGTGAGTTATACTCAGTTGACACTGGTGGCTGTGTACTATGCCAGACCAGAGTCAAGGCATAGCAACCAAAACAGCACACAAATAAAATAAGTGTGTCAGTGTGTGTCTGTTGTATTCAGGAATTTAGTAAGAATATGACATGTATTCATTATAATGGCCTTCTGTAGTGTGATGTATATGTTTCTATTCAATTATAATATTCCCAGGCTTTTGTGTAGTGTGTGGTTAAGACATCTATACAGAAGAGTATAACGGGTACAATAAGCCCCCTATCCATCCTCCACAGATGCCTTATTTCCTGGGCAAATTCTGTGTACTTGCTGTGTTTTGTATATTGTGTATTTGGAATGGATATGTCTATAATGTATGTGATTTTATTGTTTGTCAATGAGTGTGATGTCTGGTCTGTTGTGGTAAATTGTTTTATCTGTGATTATGGCTCTGTCATATTGGAATTGGACAGTATTGGAAAACAGCACCCCAAGATATACAGTACATCTTGTGCATGCTGTTTTCCAATACTGTCTGTGGAATGTATTTGTAGTATGATTTGTGGATGTCTAATAATTTGTGTTTCTTTGCAAGCTCTTGGTGTATTATATTTACTACTTGATTATGTCTGTAAATAATCTAGTTGCAAGCTCTTGGCACAGACAGAAGTGATGTGTTGTATAGTTTCTGGCATGATGTGACATTTTCTGCATGTGTCATTTGTGAGTGTTGTATCTTTGAGTATGTGTTTTCTGTAGTTTTTAGTATTTATGACCTGATCCTGTATGGCAATCATG